GTATCTTCAACCATACCCGAGCGTCTCTATTTATAGAGATGAAAATCGCCAATTAGACAGGATCTTTCGCGTAAAAGTTTGCAAACTTTCGCGCGTTAGAGATAATCGCAGACTTCTGATTTTTTGACGCAAACGTTCGTAGAATTTAATTAATATCAGTCTTTATCCGAAGTCCAAGATTTTCTAATATTTTGGACTCTGTTCAGGAAAATCTAAAGGATTTTCATAAAGAAATAATGTCCAAAATAACCCCGGCCAGGGCTCTGTCTCTTGGACCCCGCTAGGGGGCTACCGCGCCTTGGACCCCGCTACCCGAGGGCTGCCGCCCTCGAACCCCAGCTATGAATTTGTAATATCGTTGAACGAGTGCGCACTCCGCGCCTCCTAACTCGTTTGACAATGTTTATTCAAATTCTTATCTCGTCTAAGTTAACTCAATCATACAAAATAGCCGATGACACTAAAATCACCAACATTACACACCAGCTTGCATATTTATATACAAAGGCATTGGAGAAATTACGATTGGTGTTTCTTATTCCCAAGTTAGGCATTTTGCTTTTGCATGCTCCAACTTGAGGGGGGGAGTGTCAAAGGAAAGTATATATTTTCGTATATATCATTATTCTGTATAGGGTAGTTTTCCTATACGTTGATTTCCTTTCGTATTTCTTCTCTTTGTATTTAGTTTCAATATAGAGATCCTAACCTGTGAGATCCTATATATATAGCCTTTGTGAATATTGTGAAGAAAAGAAGTACAAGAGAAATATTTTCTCCCATATTCGTATTCTTTCAAACATTTTATAAGTATATTATAACAATAATTATTTTTAATTGTTACATAACATTCTTTCAATTATATGAAAATCGATGAGAATTTTTTCCCTAAAATGGATAGAATATTTGTGGATTTATTTTAATTTTATTTCCCTAAAAAGAAAACAAGAGACTTGGCATTTTCTGAAGTACCATATAGTTTTCTGGTTTTCCTTTTTACCTGAAGTCCGTAAGTCCATTGCCCTCTCAACGACCCTCTCATGCCACTAGAGATGGGGAAAGAGACAAGACCTATTGGATGTGATTTTACTGTTCATTTTTGTAGCCAAATTGGATCAGAGTAATCTTTTGGAAAAATCGATACCTCAAGAAAAAATAGGAACTTCATGTGAGTTATACAAACTATGGTCAAATAAGTATGATCTTCTCTAGACTAATAGACTTCTATTTTTAAAATTTATTTCTAAATTCTCGTGGTTTCAAAATTAAGCTTTGCACCCGATCCTAACACATTTATTTTTGAGCCATTTTTCTAGCAAAGAGGAGGAGAGGGCATTAGTGCCTATTTTTCAAACCATAGAGGAACCGGTGATCATATTCTTAAATTTGAAAATTGTTTTTGTTTGAAATCATATATAATTAACATATACTGCATCTTTTTTATTGTTTGTTTTCCGAAGTTTAAAAGTAAAACCTTTTTTGGGAATGAAAGAATTATTTGAGAGAAAATTCTCTGTATATTAAATTGGTTTGTGAAACATGTTTTGAATACAAAGATCTAACCCTCTTTATGTAGGAAGAGGGTAAAGTTAACAAGGAAATTTCTATTCCTACTAAAATAAGAATTAAACAAACTAGAAAAGATACTAAATATTAAACCTAATTCAACTAGGAAAGATACTAAACCTAATCCCAAAGGGATTCGGTTTCCTTCGTCAATCATGCTTCCTTCTTCTGTTTCTAACACTTTCCTTCTTCAATCTTGTGTCCTTCTTCTGTCTCTAACACCCCCCCCCCTCAAGCTGCAGCATGGGAGTTCAACATGCCCAGCTTCGACATAAATGAAAAAAAATGTTCCCTCGGTTCACGCATCTATGCAAGCGTCTCCGGCAGGTCCCACGCGCAATTCTTACACGTACAAATTGGGAACTGCTCCAAACCTGCAAGAAACGTTCTCTCGGTCCGCGCATCTGCGCAAGCTTCTCCGGCAGGTCCCACGTGCAATTCCTACACGTACAAATTGGGAACTGCTCCAAACCACAGAAACTGAGCAACGACCGATGGACGTGATGCCGGGCGATCGTGAACAGTAACCGCGATCAAGAGAAACTGCCGCTGGGATGGTCAACCCACTCCACCGTTCTTCAGCAACGGTCGACCGTTCCGACACTTCAGCAACAACAACAGGCGACGATCAATGGACGTGATACTGGTCGATCGTGAAGAATAGACGCGGAAAGAGTTGTTTGTCTCCGTAGAACAACCCTTGTCCGACTACTTCTTCAAGAATGAAGGAGGACAATAAAAAAAATCACAATATCCCGCCGGTAGGCATTGAATTGTATATGCCCACCGGCTGGAGAAGAAGAGTGTTTGAGGTCTCAAGAATTCAAAACTGGCTCTGATACCATGAAAGAATTATTTGGGAGGAAATTCTCTGTATATTAAATTGGTTTGTGAAACTTGTTTTGAATACAAAGATCTAACCCTCTTTATATAGGAAGAGGGTAAAGTTAACAAGGAAATTTCTATTCCTACTAAAATAAGAATTAAACAAATTAGGAAAAATACTAAATATTAAACCTAATTCAACTAGGAAAGATACTAAACCTAATCCCAAAGGGATTCGGTTTCCTTCTTCAATTATGCTTCCTTCTTCTGTCTCTAACACTTTCCTTCTTCAATCTTGTTTCCTTCTTCTGTCTCTAACAGGAAACTTCAAAAAAGAGGAATACAATAGGAAATAAGATAAAAGAAAAAATTAAAATGAATATCATTTTTTGGACATCCTAATCCTAAAGAACGTTTTTGACATTTGGAAAATTCTTTTTTGTATAACTGTATTTTTTTTATATGTTTCAAAATTTTCATTTTATATTTCCATATTTTTATTTTATCTTTTTTATTCCGTATTTTCTTTTTTTAACTTCCCATTTTTTATTCTAGAAAACAAAAAATTGAAAATGTTTAATTTTAGATAAATGTAGTATATGTCAACTTTTTAATTTTAAATTTTTATTTTAATTTGGAATTTTTTAAAACATTATTAGAAAAAATAGAAATGAAATTTAAAAAATTTTATAAAAAGGAAACAAAGAGATGAAAAAGAGTTAAAAAAGGAAAAAAACCAAAAAAAATGAAAAATAAGAAATGAACAATGTTGCCCTTGTGGTTTAGAAAATAGGTGCTAATCCCCACTCTTCGCTAGAGAATGCCCAAAAAATGATTGAAAATGGTCAAAGAGGGTGTGGGTGCAAGATTTTGAAATTACGAGAATTTTAGAAATAAGTTTTGAAAACAGAAGGAGTATTATCCCAATTTTCCAAACTATAGGGGATATAAGAGCAATTTGGCCTACAAACTATTTATGTAATACGAAGTATTTTTTTGAGATAGAAGTAATTAAATAGAATCAAGAAAAACAATTTTTTTTATTTATATGTACTTGTATATTAGAAACGTCTTATTTTGTTATTATATATTAGTAGATTTATTAAAATAGTGAAAATTATTATTTCACCAATTCTAAAATGATCTTTACATTTGACTTTTCTTGACCAAAATGTAACGATTTTTACCATAAATTTTAAAAGCATAATTATTTTGAATGTTAAATTAATATAATTAAATTTATTTTAAGATGTAAGTTTGAGTTATCAACTTTTTATATTCCATAACAATTACGTATTTATGTGTGGTTATATAGAGTAGTTTTTATATTTTAAAAAAAAGATTGAAATAGGGGCAGCCCTCAGGGTAAATAATTTAGAACTTCATATTGTATTTATTTTACTTTTACTTATAATAAAAAAGTGTAGTTTTTTTCATTTTTTAAAAATAATTTTTCATTTTAAGTAAAAATAAAACCACTTTTACCTCGTACTTTTTCATACCCTACCTATCACATCATACTTTTTTACTAATAATCTATCCATCAAATCTTACTTTTACCCATGAGTATTTTTGGAAAGTCAATACCAAAATATCCCTCCCTTAATTTTCCAAAAAGTTAATAAGGGAACGACTTTAAGGGACGGAAGGGGTAAAATTTATACTCTCTCCGTCCCTTAAAAAAAGTTCCCGTTTTGACTTTTTGAGGATTTAAGGAGAGTGTATTTTGGTGTTGACTTTCCACAAATGTCCTTTGATGTGATGGATAAAGTAGGATGAGATGGATAGATTAATAGATAAAAAGTATGATGTGATAGGTAGGTTAAAAATTAGTAGGGATAAAAGTAACTTTTTAAAAGGAAAAGGGAAGTGTTTTTTGGGACGGATGAAAAAAGAAAGAGAAACTTTTTTGTGGAACGGAGGGAGTATATTGAAAAAGTAAATAAAAAGTTCTACAAAACAAGAGGTGAGAAGACTATATTATGTTGGTGATTTTAGTGTCATCGGCTATTTTTGTGTGATTAGATTTACTTAGATCGAATAAGATTCTGACTAGACGTTGTGTAACGAGTTAGGAGGTGCGGAGTGCGCACTCGTTCAACGATATTATAGCGGAATCTGGGGGTAGCAGATCCTAGTAGCATGGTCTATAAGCTAAGGGATGGTAGCCCCTAGCAGGATCCAAGGGGCAGAGCCCTTGGCCGGGGGCAAATTTTATTTAATTGACATTATTGCTTTATGGAAATCCTACATATTTTTGTGAACGGAGTAAAAAACTTTAGTTTCGAACATACGGATAAATGTCAAAATTGACACAAAAACCGAAAGAAAACTCGCGTGAACACTTGCTTCTTTTAGCAAAGTTCGGTTCTTTCCCTGATGCGCGAACATTCCCTTCCTTACGTGAACGTTCATGTCTGATCACTAAGAATTTTGACTCTATAAAAGAGTCTCGTTGGTATAGTTGAGGCAGAGATTCGATGCTTGTTCTTCATTAAGGTCTTATAAGTTCAAATTACTACCTCCGTCCCACTGTCTTTGTCCACTTCTGACTTTTGGAACTGTTCATCTAAGCACTTTGACTCATCAAATTCTCTCAATGTGTAAGCCTAAATATAGTCATGTGTGATCTTGTTTGATTTGTCTTAACATATAGATTATTAATATATAATTTCTATAATTTTTTAATATACAAATTACAAGATAAAATGGATTAAAGAAGTACATTGGATGGTGTGCCAAAAGGTAAGTGAACAAAGACAGTGGGACGGAGGGAGTATTTTGGTATACCCCGAAAAAACTTTAACTTGAAAGCATATTTGTGACTCGTTACACTATCAACTTGTAATTCATGTTCTTTGTTTTTAAAATCTTCAACGCTGCTTCGCAGCGTTCATCCTCCTAACTTTGTAAGATATTGTTTTATTAAAAATAGGAAGAATTACCTCAAAAAAAAGGGAGAATCTTTTAAGAGGGAGAGAGAGTATGATTTTCTTCCCACTGCCATGCCACCATGACGGTGGATGGAGTCAACCTTTTTTTAATAATGGGTGGAGGCTTCGACTGTCGACATATTGCAAGCAATTCACATCTTTTTTTACACACAATTTATACTCCGTAGTTAGTTTTATTAAACGTCGGCCGTAGGATACGCTGACTTCCAATTGTCCACATTTTGTCGGCTTATCTGCCATCTCGACACCAACAATCGAAGAAAACAAACATTTTCAACCGAATAGATCGGGTACCATTTTACGAACTACCACCTTTTCTATTTTAAAAGTTTTGTCACTTTTTTCAAAAAAAAAAAGTTTTGTCACTTGGGATAAATCTGAACTCTTTTAATACTTCCTCCGTCCCTAAATGTTTGTCGCATTTGTATTTTTGAAGTAAAATATCAAGGTTTTTAATTTATTTTATTTACATATTGGTATAAAAATAAAAAATAGAATTTACATATCAAAAAATTACAAGAAAAGTTATTCGAAATAAGAGGTGTCAAGAATATTTTATTTTATCAAACAACCAATGAAAACATAGAAATAAACAAATGTTTCTGCGACTGCTAAAAAACAAATGTTGCAAATATTTAGGGACGGAGGGAGTATTTCCTTCTCCCAAAATATCATCTCATTGTCTATTTTGACTTTCTCATAATTTTTGTTTAGTTGAACGGTTTTATGGACCATTTGATAATTTAAATATTTTTCTCATATTTTATTTTATATTCTCTTTGTCCGAAAATATTCTTTCAATTTGACTTTTCATGTCTCTATTGTTGCACTCTGATCATTAATATCTATATTTATATATAGATATGTAACGCCCCAAAACATACCCTAGAATTATTAATGAATAATTATTCAACTAATCAAATTTGTTTTGATTAAAATAAATTATTGTTGGGCGTTGGGCCGATACAAAATGTGTTTTCGTATCCAATATCACAATCTGGATAAATCTCTTTGAGAAAATCCAATATGTTGACTAATGTGTGTGGTCTTGATTGGGAACCTGAGTAGAGACCCAAACCAAGAATAAATAAAGAAATTATTTGTGATGTGAACTTTGAATTGATTTATTGAAATAAATCATGAGAACAAATGATATGAATTAAATATGAGAACCTTTTTAAATAAGAGCACTGGTAATACTCTTCACGCCCACCGGCGTTACGGGGCGTGAAACACCGCCCCCCGCCGGCGTTAAACGGGCGTGAGGAGCCTTGCGTCAATTGTTTGACGCGGCGTGACTCTTGCGCGGCTCCCTCCTAACGGCTAAAAAAGCCGTTGCAGCCCACATTTCAAAAAAAAAAAAAAATTCCTATAAATTCAACCCCCCCAACCAATCTCTCACACCTTCTTTTCATTCTCTTCTTCTTTCTTATTTTTAAATTTCAAAATTCAAACCCCCCCTCCCAATTTTCAACATGAATCCTTCCGGCTCCGGCTTCTTTCCCGATGATCTCCCGCCCGTCGACGCCGCGATGTGGTATTACCAAGAGTTGGACGATCGACCGCCGATGTACGAGACGCAACAGTCGGGGTACGTCGACCGAGATTCGGTTCCGGAGACTCAACCGGAACCATCCGGATCGAAAAAAAGTACACGCCGGAAAAGCCACAAAGCCAAAAGCACGTTGACCGAGTCGGCACGGTCAATCCAAAAGTGGACGCCGGAGGAGGAGTTCATATTGGCGTCGGCTTGGGTAGACGTCTTCGAGCATCCTATCATTGGTTAAAAATTTATTTTTTGTAATATATTTATGTTTTTATTTTTATATATTATAAACCGACCCCGGGACGTTTATTTTTTGTAATATATTTATGTTTTGAAGCTAAAGGAGCAGGAGGCTGAGATGAAAGTCATGCAAACCGACCCCGGGACGTTGTCGGAGTTTGGACGAATGATCTATGAGCAAAGAATGAGAGAGATCAAGGAGAAATATAATTTACCTTAGTTTTTTTATTAATGTATCGTTTTTTAAATTATTGATGCTTTTTCTTATTTAATGAATGTATTTTTTTATTATTCGTGTTTCAATTTAATTAAATAATAAATTAATTACATTTTATTAATTTAATTTTAGAAGATGTATATTTAAAAATGTAAAAAATGAAGGTTTGAAGCCCAGTTTTGAAGCCCCGGGGCTTCAAACCCATTTCCAGTGAATTTTGGGTGTAAGTTAAAGCTGACGTGGCAGAGAGAGAAGGTTTGAAGCCCCGGGGCTTCAAACCCATTACCAGTGCTCTAAAGGTCAAATAAACCAATTCTGATTCTGTCAAAGTCAAACACCCAAAAATGTGATGTCGGAAAAAGTATGACAAATAAATATAAAAATTATATAGTTGGATAGAGTTTAAATGTACGATCGCAACGGTGCAAAAGAAATTCAATTCGGAGAAAGTTGGACCAAAAAGTATACCCCGACTGGGACCAAAATTAGTCCCAATCAGGGTGGCGTGTAAAATCCTACAAATCGCCGCTGAATCCACGATCGTGAATCGTCACTGACTCAGCATGAATGGCAGCTTCTTCTTCTCCCTTCCTATATAAGAACTCTCCTCCTCTCCCCATTTCTTCACCAATCTTCCCAATATTAATACCATTGTGTTTATAAGAGTGAGGAGAGCAGTCTAGTATTGTTGGTTGCCACCGAAGTCGCCGGAGTTGGGAGTTATCATCGCCGGAAGTTTCGCCGGAAAATTCTCAAAACCTTGGATAAGCTTCGAGGTAAGCCCGTAGATATATCTAGTGACTAGAATGTTCGTATAGATCGTATCTACGTTCATAAACGGTCGTTTGGTTGAGTTTTGTATTTGACATGCTTGAAGAACCAAGAATCATAAACCACTAAATTGATGTTATAACTATGAATTAATGATGCCAAAATGATCTATGAACCTTGGAGAACATCTCTATATAGTTTCGTTGAAGTTCGGTAACTAAAAACGGTATTTTCGAAATCGGACCCGAACGAAGAAGAAGATGAACAGTAACAAAAAAACCAGCTGTCAGGATCGATCCAAATGGGTGGATCGATCATCTGGGCATAATTCCTCTACATATGGATCGATCTGGCTGGATCGATCCCCCGAATTTCTGATCCAAAAATTTGTCGGAAAATGCTATTTTTGAGCCCTAAAATCCTATTTTTGATACCAATTGATTATGATTATTTTAAGAATGATTCTTTACAAAAAAAAATGATGTTTTTAACAAATAAAAATGTTATGTGATGCATGACGGTAAGTTCGGGTGTTAACATTCGAAACTAGACCGCTATTTGTTATCAATTGTTATGTTGACTGATGATTATGATGAATGATTATTATGGATGATTATGAATGATGAACTTACTCATTAAAATGATTATTGATGATTGAACCATGAGTAAAATGAATATATTGATAATTATTAAACGATTTGTATTGTTAACGGTATCTAGAAGAATTCTAAGATATACCCATTAGTTAATTGATGTTAAGGCTATCTAGAAGACCTCTAGAATAGATCTTGTATTAGAATAGACTTATGAAAACATGAATATTTGATGAATTAGATAAAAATGTATAAACGGGATTTGTAGACCAAACTAGAGGATTACTCGTTTGGGAATGCCCGATCCAATGTTGATTAATCGCTATATTGTTGTTGCCTTAACTGACTACAGTTAAGTGTCCGAAATCATTTGCCTTAAACTAATGATAGTTTAAGTGTCCGATTTCCTTAACTGACTACAGTTAAGTGTCCGAAATCAATTGTCTTAAACTAATGATAGTTTAAGTGTCTGATTAATAATTGCCTTTTAAGGATCTGGTTATGGAAATTATGATTTAGCCTTAGACTAAGAATAGCTAAGAGCATTATTATTATGTGGCCTTAGACTAAGAATAGCTAAGAGCATTGTTATGATATGGCCTTAGACTAAGAATAGCTAAGAGCATTGTTACTATTTGGCCTTAGATTAAGAATAATTTAAGGGCACTGTCAGAAAAATACCTGAATTGAATAAAATGTGTTGATATGAACTGAACAATATCAAAACTGTGAATGTCTAAAACGAACATTGTGTGCATGATATCAATTGATTTGATTATGAATTTAGGTTCAGTTTATATGGATGTTCGACGCATTAGATATGCTTGCTCAGCTTTACCGCTGAGCGTGTAGTGTGTTTTATTTGTTACACGCAGGTAAACAGAAAGAACAATGTGATCCTGGCAGCAGATGGGGCGAGATTGTCGGGATGGATGTGAGAAGTTTGAAATAATTTATGATATGTCAATATTAAATTCGCTTTCGCAATATTGTTGAATACTCCGTACTATGTATGTTACGAAAAATATTATTGGGATTAATAAAGTGTGTTTGAAAAGTTTTAAATTTTTACGATTACCAAGTTAGATACTTTAGTCCGAATGGGGCTGTAGACCTAGACCGATTAGGGTGTTACAAGATATATTTTATAAAAATTTAATATATGAAAACTATGTTTCAGTAGAAATACATTGATATTAAATTTATATCATAATACAATATATATTTTCACATATCCAAGTCAAAGTTTCCAAACTTTAATTAAGGAAAGTCAAAGAGAAAGAATATTTTTCGGAACGGATGGAGTATAACGGTTAATGTATTTTTGAAGTATGCAATTTATACTTTTATTTCTATACCAATTTTTAAATAAAAGTATTTTTACAAAATAAGATTTTGCTCGTTACATTGTTCGAAGAGAGAATATTTTTGGTATAAAAACAAAAGTTAAATTACATAGTTCAAAATTATATTAAAAGTTTTATTAAGAAAGATGAGGAATTATTATTTTTTACAGTTTTTTCAAGAAAATTATTTTTTACTCTCTTCGTCCCTAAATAATTTTCCCCTTTCGTTTTTTCTTTGTCCACAAATAAACTTCTCTTTTCCCTTAAAAACCAATTTTACCCTTTACTTTTTCATACCCTACCTATCACATCATACCTTTTTACTAATAATCTAAATATCACATCTAATTTGTACACATCACATCAAGAGTATTTTTAGAAAGTCAACACAGAAATATCACTCCCTTAAATCCTCAAAAAGTCAAAAAGGGAAGTTTATTTAGAGACGGAGGGAGTATATTTTTTATTTTTGTTTTTTTTTTCATTTTTTAGCAACAGGAGAAAGTAATACATTTGTTCTCCGCATAGAGCCTAATCGTTAGAACCCACCACTCCGTATATATTTAGTTTTACTCCGTATATATTTAGTTTTATTGAGGTTGTTTTTATTAATTATCTGTTTATGTCATTATTTGTATGATTTTAGTTGCTTTCCTCATTTTTGTTATTTTTATATCAGCTTTTTTATTTTTTAGGAAAGATTATTCAAAATAATCTCAACTTTAATTTACCATGTCTTTCAAAAATAATCCCACTTTTTAGTATGATGCATAATAATCCAAACTTTACTGAAAGTTGAGATTATTTTTGATGAATTATTTTTAAATTTTTTTCTTGAAATTTTAAATTAAAGTTTTAAAACGACTTTCTACCTTCATTTATTTTTCTTTATTTAAATATTAGTCTTGCCTTAGATAAAATTTAAAAAAATAGATATAAGAAATGAGAAAAATAACTAAAACCATACAAAATTAAAGAAACAAATAAGCTTATCAATATAAATTAAAATGAAATGGGTAAGAAATAAAATAAAAATTTAAGAAGTAGAGAGTTCTAACATTTATTGCACTATATAACGGATAAAGTTAGGATTATTCTATATAATTTTTCCTAAAAATAAGAAGTGATACATTTATACTCTGTATAGTGTCTAAAATGTTAAAACCCAACCTTCCGTATAATTCTATTTTCTTTCTTACTAGTTTCGGGTTAGTTTCTATTGATTACATTATTTATTTCATTAATTTTGTGTTGTTTTAATTGTTTTTCTCATTTTTCATTGTTTTTTATATCTATTTTTTTCAAAGTGAGAATAATATTTAAAAAAATAAAAAGAAATTATGGAAGTAGAGAGTTATATTAAAAATTTAAATCAAAATTTCAAAAAATTAAAAAACAAAAAATTCATCAAAAATAATTTCAACTTTCAATGTTACGCAAAACATGATGTTTCTGTTTGTTGTTAGCAACTTTACGGCGATTGAAAACTCTTTAATTTTAGTAAAGTTACGATTATTATGCATCATACTGAAATTTGGGATTATGTTTATAAGACCAAGTAAAATTGGGATTATATTGGATAATTTTTCTTTTTTTATGATGCAAGACTAATATTTAGAAAAAAGAAAATAAAAGGTAGAAAGTCATTTTAATAGTTAGGGAAAATTTAAAAAATAAAAAATGAAAGTTCATAAAAAAGTAATCTTAAACTTTCATTTTGTTGCGTAAAACATGGTATTTCCGTTAACCAACTGTTAACAGTTTAACGACGATTCAGAACTTAAAAATTTCTGTAAAAGTGTGATTGTTTCTGAAAGATGAAGTAAAGTTGAGATTATTTTAAATGATTTTTTATTTGAATAAATAGTGTTAAGAGCAACTCCAAAGGAACTGCTAAATGCTTAAAAATAACAACAATACAGGTTGTTGTAGGAAATTTAGTCCTCCAACGGAAGCTTTATTTTCTAGAAGGCCATGTACAAATGCTGGTGCACCTTTTATATATAGAAGATGCATTCATAAAAGCTAAAGATTTAAATCATAAAATAATGATTTGAGGCCACCAAAAATTGCACATGATTTGACGGGTATCCAATTAATAATGAGAACAGGAGAGAGAAAATTGAATAAATAATAAACAAATGCCGTGTCATATTTAACAACTCAATTTTAGCTTTTGTCATTGGAACAGATTGAAACAAATAAACTTCTAAATCACTGTACAAATGCTAAGTGAGGATATAGAAGCTCAATTTTTTGCTCTCCGGTTGGAGATGCTCTAACTAAAGTAAATAGCGTTGACTAGAAATTCATGATTTGATAGCTAACATTTAAAAGTGGAAGGATTATTACGGGATAACTAATAAAACAATGCTAATTTCCAAAAGTAGGACCAGTACTACCGGAAACGTTTTTTTAATGACTAGAATGACTAAATTAACCCTGGCTGCTGGATTTGGAGAAACGCGCAAGCCGCAATTTCCGAAAATCGAGAGACATTTACGAGCGAGAAGAAATCTAGGGAAACGAGAAGATAATCGATCAGGGCATTAAACAATCCAGGCTCACCTTCTCTCGATGCAAATCTAAAGGAGCGAAAAATAGAGAGAGAGAGAGAGCGCGCGCGAATCTAGGAAAGCGATACCAATGGCTTCCATGAAGGTAACAGTGGCGTCTAAGAAAGGTGAAAGCGAAGACAGCGATTTTGTGACGAGGGAATCCGATGATATGCTTCTGACAATGCCTAACGGACTCGTAAGCTCTGAATTTTACAATTTCAAATTGATGAACATGAATTGAACTTTATGAAATTGAAGTTTATGAAATTGATTGAAGGCATGCATTCTGTTATTGTTGATTGAATTCAATAGTTATGAGTTTTCGATTGAGCATGTCTACAATGTTGTCTATTAATGTCTACTTGGTCTAATTACTGTCTACTCGGTTTTATTAATGTCTAATTATTACAGTTTTTTCATTGAGATATAAGTTTTGAAGGCTTAAGAAAATCATAAATCCAGCAGATGAATTTGTGCTTTGAACAATTCAATTGTGGTTGTCTTTAATAAGAAAAGTCTGATAATGTCTATCTGGATTATTACAAATTATGAGACTATGTTCTGTTGGCGTATTACTGTCTACTCGTCTATTAATAAGAATAATGTCTAATAATGTCTACCTGAATTATTACAAATTATGAGAATATGTGTTCTGTTAGCGTATTACTGTCTACTAATGTCTATTAATAAGAATAATGTCTGATAATGTCTACCTGGATTATTACAAAATATGAGACTATGTGTTCTGTTGGCGTATTAATGCCTGTTAGGCATTTGAATGAATATAATGATATTTGTGGATGATGAGACAATGTCTTTGGTTAGTGAATGATTGTCATGTTAAGTCTTAAAATGAATATAATGACATTTTTGATTGGGCCATAAAATTTTGATTGCTTATGAGAAGCATAAAGTCAAGCGGATGTTACTGTGCATTGAAATTGGTGTTTTAATGTCCTCTAAGGCATTTGTATGAAAACGTAAAATACTTTCTAATGCAATTTGTGTTGTGTTTTGGAAACGAAGTGAACAGAATTTTGTTTAATGTGACAGGTCTATAAACGCCTATGTAAGCCAAACCTACTGGATACAAAAACTGAAGCTAAAATAAATTCATACTGCAATGTTGGTAATGGGGTTAAGAAGTTGAAAGAAGTGCTTTCAAAAGACGAACTAAGTGAATTTCGAAAGACTGCCTTTGGATATTGGTTAGACATTGGAGAATTGAAATGTTTTAATGGCCAACTTCTGATTCTTCTCACACTCAACCATGTGGAGCCGATGGACAGAGTGCACGCCTCTGAAGAAATTTCATTTTCCATTTGTGGCAGACTGATTAAATTCACAAAGAAAGACTTCGAGGAGGTGAGTGGTTTTAGGTTTGGGAGCAGCAGTGAAAAAAATGGAGAATTATACAAAACCAAGTTACATAAGTAAAAGATACTTCAATGGTCAAATGAATGTGACAAGAGAAGATGTGAAGATTGAATTTGAGAGAGTCAAGAGAAATAAAAATAGAGAAGCTTTAGATGCAGTGAAGTTGGGGCTCCTATACATGTTAGGGACCTGTATAATTGGTAACCAGCCAAGCATTAAACTTCCTGGACTGTATCTCCACTTGGTCGATGATTTATCCAAGTTTAATAGGTATCCATGGGGAGAAGATGTGTGGAAAGATCTGGTAGAGAATGTTCGGAAATGCTGTTGTATTATGAATACAAGCAAGAAACCAAGGTTCAATTTCCCTGGATTCCATTTCGCTTTACAGATATGGGCGTATGAAACATTTCCAGCACTGATGCAAGAGAAGGAATGTATACTGGACGAAGGAAAGAAGACATCATGGCCAAGGGCATTGAGATGGTCAGCGGACGGGAGGACCACCAAAGAGTTGTTGGAGAAGAAAATATTCAAAAATGAAAAGGTAAAACCTAAAAAAACAAAAGAGATGTGTGGGGTACTGTTTTGTATATAATATTGTATTTTTTTAATCAAAATTAAATTTACATTGAATCATAATATGCCATTGTTTTGATTTGCAGTTTGAGTGGACAGAGATGGTCAAATCTGATGAAGAAAAACTCATTCTAAAAAAAGCCAGGAACCGCCTATCTCTTCGGATACTAAACATGACCATGCCAGAAACAGCTGTTGTGAGTGAACATGGGGATGCTTTACATGCTACAGCAAACGCCAGAAAGAGGAAAAGCCCCGAGCAATGCATCTAAAAAGGGAAAATCCCCGAGAAGACAAAAATGAATCCTAAAAAGACATCAAAAACACACAGTCCTCAAATCATTTTGGAGAAAAATGGTGCCAGAGATGAGAAATGGAAGAATGAAACATTGAACAAAATAAAATCTTTGGAGAAAATGGTGAAGAGTATAGCAGCTAACATGGCAGAGAACAATATAAAAGTGTTAAGTGAGATACAAGAGTTCAGAAAGGAAAACCAGAAACAATGGGGATTGGTTGAGGAATGCCTGAAAAATGCTGGCATTTTGGGGAAAACACAAAGTAAGGAATCCAGGAAGAAAGACACTCAGTTTCCAAGTTTTGATTTAGGCATTGATCTACATTGTACACCACAGCCTGCTCATAAAAAGAAAGATCAAAATAAGACTGGAGACTGTGTAAAGGAGAAGGGAGAAGACATGGACATTGATTGGATGAATGGGATGTTGACTGAGGCAAACACTGATCACAATTGCCAGGTTTGACACATAAATTTTTAGCAATTAACATCCTGACAATGACCATATTTAATTGTTCATCTTGATGACACAGGAAACTATGCACGTGGTTGAACTGATTTGGGAACATTACATAAAATCAGTGACCAGAAAGGCATTGACAATAAAGTCATTGACCAGCAGGTACGTACTAAAACATAGAATGCAAAGCTACATGATTATGTTTAATAAAATGGTTGCAATTGGAGTTGAAATTACATACTAAGAGATAAATCATGCTATAGGTGATGGAAGATGGTTTGGAGGAAGGCCAGAAAATGGAGAGTGTCATTGACAATGTGGAAACAGCATCGCAAGCTGCTCGGGTATATTTAGTCTAGTTGATATGGAACATTTTTCAGTTGGTAGAGTGTCATTTTGTTTATTTCCAATGACTAATTGTTGCATTATATTTGATTTTGTACAGGCAGCAGAGGATTTGGATCCAGCCATTTGGGACATTAGTCCTTACTCTGAACAACCAAAGGTCGCAGAGGGTATCATCAGTTATTTGTTTCCCACTGAACAACCACATCTCCTAAATGATGTTCCTACTGAACAACCACAAGTCCTCACTGATATTCCCACTAAACCACCACAAAAAATCAATGATATTCCCAATGAACCACCACAAATGCCCAATGATGATCCCAGTGATGGTATAGATGCTGAACCACAGCTCAATGTTGGTCAACTTGAGGACATTCGGGATGAACAAGCAGAAGGCCCAGATGCTGAAGAACAACACACTAAGGATATTGCCATTGACCAACCAGAAGACACTACAAGGCAGAAGAGGGTTATGAAATGCCCAGATAAGTTTACTCATTCTGAAAAAAAATTAAACACAAGAAAGGCAAAGAGCAGACAAGGACCACAGACATCTAAACAGAAAGCCACAGATGGTGGTGATGACAATTCGCAACCCAACAATGTGGAGGCCGAAGCTGGCATGGCAGAAAGTCATCCCGAAGGGCTGAAATTAGCATTAACTGCTGAGAATGTGGAGTTGTTTTTAGCACAAGGTCTCCTAAGCAAGAAGAAAAAAGCAAATGGCACAAAGTACACAAGCCGGGAAAATGCTTTAAACCCAGAAGAATTTCGGCCACTGTGGGGGCATGACGAAACAATGACAAAAACATGGTACTATGGATTTTTCTACCCTCATGAATAGATGGATGATGTGGTAAGTATGAACATACACATTTTATTAAACGATTATAAAAATATGGTTATGGATTTTTAAATATACTAATGACTTACAATACTTTATCTACTACAGCATGTAACTGTAGCCTTGAAATACCCGGTCATGAAAGCACAAGAATATGGATTGACCCAGCTATTTGCAGTAACAGACAGCCTATTTGTCAGTCTATTGAAGAAAGAATATGACAACTACTTGGGAAAAAGGAAAACAATTGCTGAAGCAGCATTGAACACTTCAATACTGAAACCAATCGTAGGGGCTGTGCCAGAATTGGGAGGACGCTGGGCAGAATGCGATTACATTTACATGCCAATCAACACTGGAAACCATTGGATACTGGCTGTGCTTGACATATCAAAGAAATGCATCAGGCTGTATGATTCTAACAACAAGGGGAAGACCAGTCGCCACACAAAACCATACCTTCCATGTCTACAGATCTTACTGCCAAAGGTGATGGACAAACTGGAAGTGTACAAGGAGCGGAAAATGCCTGAGATGGGAGATGATGTGCTAGGCATTGTGAACGTAAATAATTGCCCACAACAACAGGACGCATAAGTTCGTAGATGTTATAAATGTCCTTTCTAGGTACCTAATAACATGTAATATACTTAAAGCACCATAATGTCCAATGTACGTAATAATATGCAGGGTGAGCTGTGGCGTATTCGTTGTAAAGATGGCTTAGCATCTAATCATGGGGATGGAAGTGGATGAAGTGGATGTTGCAGGCATTGAGAGTTTCAGGAAAAAATTTGCAACAGAAGTGCTGTTATATGCAAACAGGAGGGCTGACCAGGAGGGCTGAGCATTGGCATGGGAAATGTAACCAAGTTTAAAAAACTTTTATGTTTAAGTATGCTGTTGTAGTAGTCACACTATGGGTTTTAAGTGCAGTATCGGTACTTTTCCTATTATTAGTAATATGGGTTGTAAGTGCACTATCAATACTTTTTAGACAGAATCTTGTAATATGGTTGGTGATTGAAGTAATCACATTACTTTTTTGGATAAAATTGGGGCACAGTATTTGATGAAACTTTTTTTAAAAGGGGAGTAAACAAGTAACCTTTAAACACGTGAGTAAACTTTTATCAATGACAGAATCACTTCTTCCAACAAATAACTTTTATTAAGAAATGACACACCCAAACCATTCAATGTCAAGAGCATCTGGCGTTGTAATGCAAACACAATCTTTTAAACACATAGAATCTCTTTGGCTGATACTAATGAAATACTTTTATCAAAGAATGGCAATCCCTACAGACCCTCATGTTCTTGAGGACAACACTAAAACCCGGGCTAGAAAGCAAAGGCATGAGAAGGAGGGGGAGGGGGTATCATTGAAAATACTTTAGGACTTTGGTTATATTTCTATATTTGCTGTTATCTAACAGAATTTACAGGAAAACAGAATGACCCATTCCACAAACACATGAATATCATGGCATTCAACACAAATGAAAAGTAAAAACAACCGAGCTAAAGAAAAGAGTGAAATGACATGATATTAGGATCAATTTCAAAAAGACAATACAAAAGGACTTGAATTGTTCATGAATTAGAAAGAAACATAAGCTCCATAACAAAAAAAAAGGTACTCTTGCATAAAGACTTATGTGCGACAGATAGAAAGGGGGTTGGTGCAGGTTTTTTTATTATGTCCAGGCATTGTACACCGGGAGCAACATTGCCTGCTCGTAGTCTCGTCCCTAGATGGAATTCGCCGCTTCTTGGGTCTTCCAGGTGGGCGTTTAGAACATGAGGGAGGTCTACACAAAATACCCGACACAACCTCTGGAACAACCCAACTGTCTCAACTAGCCAATGGGTGTATAATGCCTTCATATGCTGCAATCCACTCAGAAGTAGTGTAGTATTTTGATATAAATTCATAGCATGAAACACTTGGGCGTGTACGAATAGCTGCAACAGCATGAACACATACGAAGTGATCGGTCTGGAACTCACAACAAGTACAAGTCCTGGACCGAAGATTAACTACAAAAGCCCTTCCATTAGTGTCCAAAACCTGGAACTCATAATCACACGATGGGCGAACCTGAAAAAATATTCTTGATAGTCAAAGTATGAAAAACATATAGTCATCAGAAAATGCATTGTGGCAGTAGAATAAAATAAATGAAAAAGAAACAAGAATGTGAATATAATGCCTTGTGAGACGTACACTCATGACTGCAGACGAAGCATGTAGCTCATTTAACTTTGCTTCATAATGCCTTGTCAGAATAGATGACGTAGAATTAGCCAAGCTTCTTCGTTCATGGAACCATTTTTGCATCCTCACAATTATGAAATCAATAAGTTGTGCAATGGGGTACTCGCGGGCTGAAGCATCAACACTGTTCATTGACTCAGCGTTGTTTGATGTCATGATTGAGTATCGATTGTTTGCTGATTCTGCCCGAGACCACTTCGAAAATCCAATGTGTGCTAGATATGGCTGAATGGCTGGATCCTCCTCATCTAACAATTTCATATACCAATTCCGTTCACGAACAGTTGCAGCCTTTGCAGCACGAATAAACTTCCATGTAACAGCTTTTGCAGAGCCACGGAATGACGTCTTAATGTTACCAAGAATGTGATATATACAATGTCCATGCATAACGTTTGGGAAAACAGATTGCACAGCACTTATAATGCCATCATGGCGGTCAGACACAATATACTTCACTTCTTGAGCTACAAGGACCTCTTTAACCTTTTTTAAAAACCACTTCCAATTCGCAGTGTCTTCAGCATCACAAATGGCAAAGGCCAGTGGGAATATTTGTTTGTTCCCATCCTGTGCAACAGCGGTTAGAAGCGTGCCTTTATAGTATGACTTCATGAATGACCCATCAATAATCAANATAAGCTTAGCAACAACTGAAGAAGTAGCCTGGCGAGTCTTACCCTGTCTAACATCAACAGGACACTGATGTTCAAAGTCATACCTGGGAGAATATACTTGCTTCAGATGATGACAAATAGGTGCATTGAAGTGTAAATACTAAAAACACATAAATAAAAATGTCGTATAACAGTATAAACACCACTAACACAAAAATCTTTGGACAACAAAAGCGGTGAAAAGTCTAAGAACACTTAGCAACATAATGAGTAGAAACGCTACCTGCGAATCTGAAACATTTCACCGCGTGGCATTTTAACAGCTCTGACAGCCCACTTGCAGCTGCTACTATCTACACATACAACATGTAAAACTTTCTTTGTGGATTTCCTCGTTCTATATTGAAAATAGTTGCTAATAGCCAACATTTTTAAGTGGTAATCGAGCACTTCCTTGCTCTCATATATTGCATCAACAGCTATTGTAGTGGGGTGGAAATGGGATAAGATCTCAAAATCTGGGGACATACAATACTTCATCAGATGTCACTGGATGAGTGCCACTGGAATAATCAGTGTCTTCTGAATCATAACTTGTCCCATCCCTACTAAACGACATTGATGATGAGGTGGAAGTAGTAGATGCAGGTGCGGGTTGAAAAGCAGATGGAGAATGAACTAGAAGCTGATATTTATCAATAAATGAGACAGTATTCTCTTCATTGACAGCTACATTATTCTCAGTAGGCATTGAATTATTGTCATCTGAACTAAAATTCAAAGACATTGACCACGGAGGCTGGGAACCAGATTTAGATATCAATGAAACAGTGTTTACATGATTGACAAGCGCAATGTCCCCAGTAGGCATTGAATGATTGTCATCTAAATTGAAATTCAAAGACATTGACGATGGAGGCTGTGGACTAGATTGAGCATGTGAAATCAAAGGAAAAACAGGATTTGATGTTGCGTTGAGCAAATTGGGGATGAATTGAACACATAATGGCAACATCACAGCATCTCTGTAAAAGGATTTCAGTTGCAAGTAAAATCGAAAACTGGAATCATCATCAATAACAACACGAGGAGGGCAAACTGGCAACAAATACGAAAATCGAAAATCATATTGCGCACAATCGTCACCAATCGCTACACGAACAGCGTTCATTAGGTCTGCGAAAGAATTTTCAGAATGGATTTCCAACTCACAGTTACGTTTAGAATGAAAAGAAGAATCATCACTCCTTTCGCCATCAACATTCAGCAATATATGATATGAAGGAGGTTGAGCAGACATTGATTTGAGAGAGAAGAGTATCATCGATTTGCAGAAAGACGAAGAAGAGAGCGCGCGGCGGAAAATTGAATCGGAGAAGAAGGTGAAATTTAGACGTAAATAAGAGAGGGTAAAATAGGGAGATCGGGTGCAAATTAGTTCCATTTTTGAGAAAAAAACAAGTGGTACTAAAAGGGGAAAGGCACCAAGCTTTGGTACCATGCGGGGCAAATTTAACTTAAATATGTCGATCATGGTTTTGGAAAAGCGTAATGTTCACTCCATTTAAGGACAGGAGATTAGGTCAAAGTTGGATAGGTGAAAATATAAGACATCAAAGACAATTTCAAATGATTGGGAGCAGTACTCCGGTCCCTAATATCTCCCCATTTAAAAAAAGAGTAGTGTAAAATAATTTTAAAATGAGAATATAAATTATGAATAATAAATTTCTAAAGTTTGTGATCATTTTATTTTTGAATCTAGCATTGCTCCTTTGTGTGGAGGAGTGTTTGGTTCACAAACATAATGGCTCCAATTTTTACAAATTTACTATTTATAAACTTCATTTGAAAAAATTAAATAGTCTAAAATAATTTAAAATGAGAAGTTAAATCATAAATATTAAGTTTATGAAATTTGTGACCATTCTATTTATGAAACTAGCATTGCTCTTTTAATGTCAAACATATCAACTTTTATCCGGTCTAATAGTACCACTCGGCATCAAATTTTGAAAAAACTGGTTTATTGTCAAATTGTCAACGTATTAAATGGGAATATATGGGACTTGACAAATTCTTGCATGAATTTAAAAAATATATGGTGTATTTTTTAGAATAAAAATTTAAAAAATTGTGTGAGAATGTCCATGTTGACTTGAGGTCAACGTGCCACCTCTCATGGGACAATGAAAGTAATTTTTTGGTTCTTTTGGAGGCAAGCAACAAGCTAGCCAAAGCCCCATCATTTTGTAATACCCCAACCCACATAATTCAAACCAACAAGTTAGTGAATCAGGTTGCTACTAATTTGGTATTTACATGTACAATATTTTAAAATATTTAGAGTAAAACATTCAGTCATTTTAATTTAAAATGAATATAAGTTAACCGGAGTAAAAAAATTCAAATGTTGCGGAAGCCTTAAATCCAACTTCCAAAACAACTTAGAGGGTGTTTGGGAGTGATTAACTTGTAGATAAAATGATTTTTCTCAAAAGCTGAAAGGAAAAGCACCTCATACCTGCTTCTCCGAAACAGTGGTCTATGTACAAAATAGTGGTGGTAAAAAGCAGAAGGTGACATCCAAAACAGAGTAAAATCACTTCCACTAAAAGCAGACGCTAAACCATTAAAAGCAGAGCATTGTCAAACACCCTCTTAGTACTTTGAATAATAAACAAAAAGGTTGTTTTAAAAGTTTAACATAAGAGCTTCAACCATCCACCAACATTGCGCTTCACTGTATGCAGTCAAAGACAACAAAGACTATGCCCTCAGCTGAAAACTGAGTGAGTAT